AGTAGGAAAACTGGAAGAGCAAGTAAGCATGGAATGTGTTACAGCCAGCTGAGCACATGTTTAAGGTTCTGTAAACATCAGAGAAACATCAAAGGTTTTGAAGCAGGGGAGTGACATAGTCTGAGCTAGGCATAGGAGAAAACCTTAGCCATTGGTATACAGAATAGGCTGGAAGGAAGAAAGATTGGAAGTAAGGTGACAATTAATTATGAGGAAAGATGTTGTTGTTGTTAAATTACTGACAATGTGAAAATAGAAAGGATGCTCCTAACCCAAGGTCATTGATGTGTTCATTGATCTGCAGTGGGATTTTGTTGAAATTCCAAAATAAATGTTCCCTCTCCTGAGACTTTGTACTGTGTGTCCCAACCTGGAGCAAATACAGATCAGAGATAGGGATTTCTAGGTACGTAGATAGATCTGAGTTAAGAAGACTGAGTCATTACCAAAAGTATTTACTTTAGGGAAACAAGCTATCTTCATGAACGAGGACTTCACTGTTGACAGAGTTGTATTTCATCAAATGTGGTTAAGAAGAGGGGTGACTTATCTATGACAGAAAAAAACGGTAATATTGTAGAGAGATAAGAAGGCTCTTCTCTCCAATAAAGGTGTCACCCCTTTTCTCCATCTATATCCAACTACATCACTCTGTCTAAGTGAAGTCACTATTAGGTTTTATCACATTTAATGGGCTTGTTGACTATTAACCACTATTAAGAAGTTACCATCACCACTGCTGACATCTCCTTTTGAAAGAGAGAGCCTAGTTCCAATAAAGGGTAAGTCCATATGCTTAGATTGCATGTAACCTGTGGTGATTCCAACTGATGCCTCTGTAAAACACTTAGACTTTTACCATCACTAGCTTGCTAGCTACTTCTTACAACACAGTACATCTTTTTAGATAGATCACTGTATAAATCAAGACTGGAGAATGGAAGCAGATATCATTGGATTTTAAATACACCTTGGAGTTTCTGAGGTTGTTGTGAGCCTTATTCAACAAAATGCACCACCATGTTTTCTAAGGCCATGTTGCTCAAGCTATGGCCTTACTTTCCAGTTTGATTCATCTTTGCCATTTTCTCGAATCATTTATTGTAGATTATGTTTCTCGGTTGCTTTTTATAGAATATGATACAAATTATAAAAATTGGGTCATGGAACTCTAGTACAGAAGTTACCATAGATACTGTTACTCTGAAAATCTCTCTCTTCTTTTCCAGTGAACTTGGAGAAATTCCCACATTAAAAACACTACAAGTTTTTGGAATCGTGCCAGACGGTACCCTTCAAGTGTTGCAGGAAGCCCTTCCTCATCTACAGATTAATTGTTCCCATTTCACCACCATTGCCAGGCCAACTATTTGCAATAAAAAGAGCCAGGAGATATGGGGAATCAAATGCCGACTATCACTGCAAAAGCCCGGTTGTGTATGAAGTATTTACTACAAGATGGTGTCTCCTTTTTCTGTGGAACAGGGAAAATAGATAGGAACCCCAAATGCTGGAGCCCTCAACTATTTTTATTCCAGATTTTTCTTTAGCCTTCGTTCTGCAAGCGTCTTGCGTTAGAAGATGATTTGAGAGCAAAAACTATGAAGTATTGCTTTTTTGAAATGACTATAAAAGCTTCTGACTCGGCCGTTCCTTTAAAAGCCTAAGTTGTAGGTCTTTTGAAATTTTAGGAGAATGAGCCTATCATTTCAAGCTCCCTTCAAGAGCAAAATTTGAGCCACCTCTTCCAAGTGCCATTCTTATTAAGTCTATTTAGAATCAAGCTAAAAATCACTACTAGCAGATAGTTTTCATAGCCTGTATGGTAACTTGACTTTTTTCTATTTAATGTTTCAGTATTGCTTTATAAGACATAGATTGGAAGAAAAATAAGCTATTTGTATTGTTAGCTAAACGGCAAGGGAATCGTAGCGTAATAGCATTTGACGCAATCTCTTCTGGGGAAAAAAAAAGAAAAAGTTGCATTTCAGCTTTGACTTTGGATTTGATATTAGGTTCATGTGAACCATATAGTCCCATGGAATTTACCATAAACCTAAAAAGCAAAACAAAACAGGTATAGAACTGATACAGAATTTGAAGTTTCAAAAGGTAATTTTTTATGACATTAATTTGAGGTGTCTTAATTTACATGAGGTACTGTTTTCTGAGAATTCTAAATTAGTTGAGGGAGTACAATTGTGGTTCGCTAACTTTATAATCAAATTGTTAACATGGGTCTTTTAGCTTTTAAAATGGCTTGCTTTGTTTCAGAAAGGTTATATTAACCAATCAGTCGCTATTCTTGAAATGTTGAATGGAATGCTGAAGTGAAGTTGCCTGCTGTTCTTCCTTATTGCTGAGGTTCTTGAGGTTATTTTTATATTATCCTGGAATCAAGTACTTTAATTGCCTTTTTAAAAATGATCTCCCACAACAATGGCTTGAAACTACGCATTTTATAAAGTTACTGAACCTAAAGTTCCCTGAAAGGAACTAGAGGTTCCTTTCTGTCAGAAATACACACTCAAAGCAGGCCTGTAGAGTTTCAGAGCAGGAAGTACTACATCTGTATAAAAGTTACAACTCAGGTGTTGATCCTTTTGATAGCATAGGTGCTAAAACAAAAACTGGTATGTAGCAGCGGAAAGACTAAATTATGCTTTAAAAAAAGAAACAAGCTAATTTCTTGTTTAAATTGATGACTGTTCCATATGTTCAAATTGGAACCAAAAAAACCCATCATTCTTATTAACATTATCGATCTTTTTTTTTTTTAATTGTATTTTTCAAATGTTAGAAACAATAGGATGAAGTGCCCTTATCTGCTCAGACCGAAGGAAGAATATTTTGGAGTAGTGTTATGCAGGAAATGATTATGTTTCAATTTTTTAGTTGAAGAGTGCTAAATACTACTTGAAATTATTGTTTACAGATTAATGACAAGGGCTGGTGATGGGATCCGGTTGGACTGTGACTTACGGATGTCCTCAAACATACAGTACTTCCAAACTCAAGTCCAGCCATAAGCTATTTTGCTAAGATGTCAAAGTAATCTGTATTTTTATATGTGATTTCTACTTTTATAGATTTGTTTTAAAATAAAACACATTTTTATAAAAATGAGTACTTCGACTAAGTTGTAGTTCTTGTTTTTTCTTAAGTACTGTGGGTAGGATTAGAAAGCATTTGGTATGGTATGATTAGTGTGATTAACAATAAAAGCTAGTAACACTTTTTAGGAGTCCCTGGGTGGTGCAGACATTTAGTATGTTCACTGCTAACTAAAAGGTGGGAGATTCAGGTCCACCCAGAGGCACCTTGGAAGAAAGACCTGGCCATCTACTTCCAAAAAATCAGCCATTGCAAACCCCATAGAGCACAGTTCCACTATGACACATATGGGGTCACCCTAAGTCTATCGACTAAGTGGCAACTGACGTTTACTTTTTAGTAACACTTTTTAAGTACAGACTTGATGAGTTTATATGGTGTATCTTACTCTCATTCAAAAACTATTTGAATAGTTTAACCTATGCCCAGAGGCCTTCCAGGAATTCAGTTCCTTTGAACCCATCCATTCAGATAGAATAGTGATTCTTCCTGAATATTACCCAGTCTGTTGATTCTTCTTTTTATATTATCATTACTCTGCCTTTTTCTTGTTTAATTATGAAAAATGGCAAATATATGCAAAAGTACAGAATACGATGAACCCGTCACTCAACTTCAACAATGATTAACTCGTAGCCAATCTCATTTTATCCATGATCTCATTCAGTCCCTCCTCCCCTGTAGATTATTTTGATGCAAAACTCAGATCTATAATTTCATAAATATTTCAAAAGATAGGGATTCTTGAATAAACTCTGAAATGTCAAATATCAGGATAGTATTAGAATTTCCCCAGTTGTCTCAAATGTTTTCTTACATGTGGTTTGTTCTGGTCAGGCTCCAAATATGACCCTTGCATTGCATTTGGTTGACATTCTCTTAAATCATTTAATCCATCCGTTCCTTCCCCACCCCCCCTTATTTTTTTCCTTGCAATTTATTTTTTGAAGAAACTAAGTCATTTATCCTGTGTTACACATTTTGGATTTTACTGATGTCATCCCTGGAGTGACATTTAACAGGTGACTGCTTTATTTCCTGTAAACTAGTACTTACTGCTATCAACCAAAAGCTCTAGGCCAGGGGACTAGAGCTCCCCAGGAGACATTTCTCAATGTCTTAAGACATTTTGGTTGTCACAACTGGAGAGGTGCTACATCTAGTAGGTAGAGGCTAAGTATGCTGCTAACCATCCTGTAATACACATGACACCCACCCACCCCTCATAACAATTGTCTGGCCCAAAATGTCAAGAGCACTGGTGTTGAGAAACTCTGACCAGAGGCTTGATTTTATCAAGATGGATTCTTTTTATGGCAAACTTGTTGCTATTGAGTCGATTCCAACTCATAGTGACCCTATAGGACAGAGTAAAACTTCCCCATAGGGTTTCCTAAGCAGTAATCTTATGGAAGCAGATTGCCAAGTCTTACCTCCCGTTGGTTTGAACTGCCAACCTTTCGGTTAGCAGCCGAGCACTTTTAACTACTGCGCTATCAGGGCTCCTTTTTTATCCAAGGTATAATTAATACCTAGTATTGTGTTCTTCCATTAAGAGGCACAAAATGTGTCTTCATTTTTTTTTTATGTTAACATCTGTCCCCTTTCTCATTTTCACTGTCAAACCTCACTCTTCCTTGGGCCCCTTGGTTCCTTACTCCTATACCCTGTCCACAAGTTCTAGAGATACGAGGTACTCTGGCCAATTGCAAAATTTTTATTTCTAGATAAGGTGACTTGTACCCCTTCTCTCCTGGTGAATTCAGTTTCGATCCAACACTTAATGAGATCTATAATGTGGAAAATTACTGTTTGAACAACAGCACAGGGCAAGGTGCAGAGCATTTACAAAAAGACAAAGTAGTCCAAAGACTGGGCAAGCTAGAAAGAAATCCCTTTACACTGGATACCTTACCCCTGGAACAAGCAAAAAGGCAACCTTTCCTTTCCTTACCACTCCTCCCCCTTCCCACCCATCCAGATATCCCAGGAAGTCAAAAATTTCTCTTCCTCAAAAGCCTAACTCTTTAAGATACGGGTTGAAGACTAAAAGCCTGTATTAAACTCATTTTATGGATTTGACTTAATCATTATTTTAACAAATCTAAATATGAAAACGCTATTTTGATATTTCTCAAATACAAAATACCTAAATTGAAATTTTGAGCAGTATAGTTACTAACTACTACATTTTACGGTCTTCAAAAGGCAAAGGCCATGACTGAAATGAGGAACTACAAAGTAACTAATCTTAAATTAATAGGCATACTGTAATCTATCTGTATCCCGGCCCCTACCTTGTATTTATATTAAATCTTTTAAAGAAATACTGGTAATACAGTCATTTATATTGGCTTTTAAAAATACATTTGCCACTCTAAACTACTCATAAGTTACTACTCAGGGTAATGAACTATAATTTCCAATGCAAAAGTCAGTAAGTACATAGATAGGAATTCGGCAGTATTTTAGTCCTACACTAGGTGCAAAGTGGATAATCCATTATAAACTATTTAAAAGGCTACTGGAAAAAGATTAATAGAATGATCTTATGGAGAATCATTTCATGAAGAGATGATGCTTTGAGAGGAAGATGTGGGGCAGGAGCAAAGAGCTATATAACAAAGCTTAATTACCAAAGGTACTTTAAATGTTTTATTGTGAAAGCCAAGAAGAAACAATCTAGTCTAATGACAACCTGACAAATCGTTCAAACCCTCTTTGTCCGTTAAAAGAAAATGAGTTTGGAAAAAGCAATAGTTGTAATTGGGGAAAACATATTTAAAAGAACAGCTTAGGAAAACCTGGTTCTCAAATACTGCCCTACTTGTTACTTTTACATCAGATAACCCTCCACACACTCCTTAAAAGAATGACAAAGTTCACTGTAGTAAAACTATTGTTTATTATCATACTAGGCAATTTCCTCACTAGCTCAGTCAGTCTTTAAGTATTCATTATGACAAAGTACAAATCAGAACTCACAAGCTACTCCTATAAAAAGCTGTGTATCGTTCAGTTCCCTGAACAGGCTTATCAGCATCCCAAGTTTTGACTTTTTTTTTTTTAGATACTGTTGATGTTTGATTTTTGAAAAAGGAGAAATGAACAAAATTAGCTAAACCCATGCCTTATCTTAGCTAAACTCTTATCCCCTCCCTCCTGCATATATACAGATTTTTCATTATATCATTTACATGTCACATTATCCCTGGGATCTTTGTTTGCATAATTATCTTGGTAGATACTATCCACAAGTATAATGATGCTTATATTATGGTATATTGGCACAATGGAATGAATTATTTATTAACTTCTAAATTACACTTATTTCCACAGCTAAGCAACAGATGCTGTCATTGTTAGGTGCCATCCACTCGATTTTTGACTCATAGCAACCCCATGTGACAGAGAAGAACTGTCCCATAGGGTTTTCTTGGCTGTAATCTTTGGGCGAGCAATCATCAGGTCTCTCTCCTGTGGAGCAGCTGGGTGAGTTGGAACAAGCAACCTTCTGGTTAACAGCCAACTGCTTAACTGTTGCGCCACCAGGGCTCCTTAAGCAATAGACAATGTATCCTTAAATTTATATTCGATAACTTTTTCAACTGGAATATTTTGCAATAAATAGTTTGTTAGCTCGTTCTATCTGCTTATTTTGCTTATATTCATTTTCATATTTAAAAATAAAATCAATGGAAATTCTTCATATGCGAAGGCTATACATTTAGGAAAACGTATACAGGCAGTCCCTGGGTTATGCATGTGTGACTTACGTACAACCTACAGTTACGAACCAACCCTGTAAAGCCGATTATATTAAAAATTTGAGGTACACAATACAGGGGAAACCAGCACAACTTGTACAAGGAAAGGTTATGGAAGCTCCATAGACACATCCAAACTCCCTGAGGAACTGAATTGCTGGGTGGAGGGCTGTGGGGACCATGGTCTCGGGGAACATCTAGCTCAATTGGCGTTAACACAGTTTATAAAGACAATGTTCTACATTCT